GGGGTTGAGGTGCCATGGTGAGGACTCAGGTGCCCACTGGGGTTCATGGCTGGGGAACACATAGAGGGCCACCCACAGGAAGGGGATGATCCAGTGCCCACTGGGTTGCCATATGGCAGTCATTGTGAGGCTCAGGGTGCATCTGACCCCTACCTGTCAGCTGGGAAAGTCACCTGGGGCAGCTTCCACTTCGCTCATCACCTGCCCCGCTCTGCATGGGGCCGGCCACACCTGCCACAGAGCAACAACTGCATTTGTCACAGGCCTGTCTGGCGCTCACCTCAAGCAGCCACCAGGGCAGGCAGGTGACAGGCGTATTTGTTCGGACAAGGAGCCTGTGGCCCAGGATGGTGGCATGACTTGCACTGGTGCCTGGTTGGTTGGTTGGTTGGTTGGTTGGAACCATGCCCCAGTTTTCCCACAGACCCGGGGCCGGAGCGTCCTGGTCCCTGTGCTATCCAGGGGTGAGATACAGACTCTTGACTCTGCAAGCAGCAACAGGGGTGGGGTCCACTCCAAGTACTTGAACACTGGCCGTTGCTGGCTGAAGGTGATGCTTTGTAGTCCCCAAATCCCTCTTGTGAATAGGTGTGGAGAGAGCCTAGGTAAGTAACTAGGCTGGAGCAGCTGTCGCTGGGCCATGGCCCCTCCAAGCTCTGGTGGAGACAGCAGTTCTTCCTGGGGCTGGGAGAAGCCAGTGGGCCTCTCCGCACGGGTGTTGCTGGGCAGCTGCATGTGGACAGGAGGCTTTGCTGCATCTCCATGGTGAGCCCCACTCAGCCGTCCACCCCTCCCTGTCCCATATCCATCAATCACACTTGGCTCCCTGGCCTCTGGGCTGGACATGGACCTATGGATGGTGCTGAGCCCTGCCATCGGGCGCCCCCTCCACTGGGCAGGGCTGCTGATTTGATGTGGTGGCAGCTGCCATGAGGATGGAGTGCCAGAAGGCTTTGCTGCATGTGATGGTTATTTCTGAGGATGATGATGAGAACTCCTGGGCAGTGAATTTCCGGATGAACAGTCTTCATCTGCATAAGGATGTTCAGGTGGCCCAGGGTGCCGGGTTTTGAGTTCCCTAGGGGAGCTGTGCTGCTTTTCTAGCTGTCGTAGAGGACTTGGTCAGGAGTTCTCAGTCATGCTTGGGGACCCTTAGGAACTGCTCATCACTAACTCTGACCTTTCCCTTCACAGAGGGTCTCAACGCAGACTACATGAAGGGGGAGAATCTGGAAGCTGTGGTGTGTGAGGAGCCCCAAGGTGAGGACTTCATAGTCACTGTCCCTTACTGATGCTTTCCTAGTTGGCCCCCAGCACTGAGCAGAACTATGCTAGAAAAGCGGGGAAGCACAGAGGCATCTGCTTCTAGAATGTCCAGCCAGAGCAAAAGCCTGCCCTGATCAGCCTGCTTCCCAGTTTCATGAGCCCAGGGTTGCTGGGGTGACAGCCAGGGCCATCTGCTGCCATGTCTGTGACTTCTGGGCATTGCTGCTGCTCAGCCTCTGCCCTTGATTCATCTGAGCCAGAGCCCCTGGCACCTCTGCTCCCCATCAGCAAAAACACATGCATTCTGAACAGAGCCATGGGGAAGCTTTTAACCTAGACCTAGAACTTTTCCCTGTGCAAATTGCGACAGGCAAGAGGGAACTTGGCTCAAGCCCAGACCCTATTATCAACACCTAGGCCCCGCCCTCCCCCTTCAGTGGTCAACCAACACTTCCAGGATTCAGGAGCTGTTGGCAGTGTGAGGTGGCATAAGGTCAGGTCACAGGCCTAGAGTGCCCAACTGCTCAACGCACATATGACCTGTGGCCATAGGATGCCAATGAGGAGGTCCAGAAGGGCTTGCTGAGCTCAGGGAGCCACGGCCTGGCGGTGCAGGCAGGAGACTGGGACAGCTCAGGCGAGTGTTGCGACTGAAACTACAGTGCAGCAGCCACGAGGACGGGACCCAGGAGAGCAGGAGAGGCTCAGCCTGTGTGGTGTGTACTGGGGAACCAGGCGCCCTATAGCACTGCTTAAGATGGGTGGCATTGTGGCACCAAATGAACTAAAACAGTTCAAATGTGGAAAAATGGATTCCATGGTCGCATCCACGATCGTGAGCTTTGCCACGGTTAGCCACATGAGGCCAGCCTGTGTGGGCAGGTACTGGGTTGAGCACTTTATTTAAAACAGTTCTTCCAGCGGTGCCGGCAGGAGCATGCTCATTTTTTAGGTGAGGAGATGGAGGCTGAGCTGTTTCCAGGGCCTGTCCCGCTTCCTCTTTCTCACCCCTTGACCCGCCCCAAACTGCTCTTAGTCTCAGGATACTCCTGGCTGGAGACAGGGAGTGGTGCGGGAAGGTTGTGCAGGGACGGCTAAGCAGTCCCCCATGAGATACACAGGGAAACCCAGTTCTGTTCCCAGCAGGGGCTTGCTGCTGTTTGCTGCTACTGTGCAGGACAGAGCAGAATTCCTTTTGACTGGCCTCTTCTTCCCTTAGTGAAATACTCTGCACTGCACATACAGTCTGCAGAGCCGCCGCCGCCTGAACCAGCCCGGATCTGAGAGCCCCGTGCAGCTGCAGGCATGCACATGGTGCCACCGCTTGTCACCCAGCTCCCCCCTACCCCCCGTCATTTGGACTCACAGCTGCTGTGCTGCTCTGTGTCATCGGCTCCTTCTTGGTCTGAGTTTTCTGGATGAGCTCTGGGTGTTTGTGAGTTTGGTTTCTCTGCCTGGCCACAGGTACTCAGACTTGCTGCCAAAATTCAAGAGCCAACTCTGGTAGAAAGCCAGCACCAGGCCTTGGGAGCTGCTGGGTCACCGACTCCCAAAGCCAGCCTGCCTCCAGCTTCATTGAGCACAGAATGTGGGGGCCAAGGTGATGCTGGGGCCTGTTGACATTTATGCTTAGGGGACAAGAGTTTGAACCCTACACCGTGGAGTGGCTGATTGTGGCCGGTTTCTGCCGATAGGCAGCCCCTGGCGGTGACCTCAAGCAGCTGCAAGTAGGGAGCTCAGCCTGCACCTAATTCCCTTGGACCCCTGCAAAGAGTGAATGAGTCAGCACCAAGTAACACCACACACGCGCAGCACCCAGGACGATGGGTTCATTTCAGTCTTCCCAATCGCAGGTTTTACGTCGCTGGGCTTCCAGAGAGCCAGTCCAAGTGGAGGCTTTCAGTTATTTAAGTGCAAACATGTATCTCATGATAGTCCTGCCCTGAGTTTAGGAATCTTCTGGATAAGTGTGAAGCTATGATTTGTAGGCCTGTTTCCCATCTGATTCCATAGGGGACTGACCTGACATGACAAAGGTCTTTAGGAATCATTTCTGCATTGGAGATGACTTTTATCCTGTGTTGGGAAGAGGTGCTCACCCTCTACCCTGTATTTATTCCCATTTTGATAGCAAGAGCTACGGATGTCAAGAATGAGCATCAAAGCCAGAAGCATGCTTGGTGTTTGCTGAAAAATGTAACTGGGGGCAGGTAGGGAGGGGAGGAGAGGGGAAGAGACACTTGCTTGGTTTAGTGAAACACACGTGACTTTGTAGCTCCATGTCAGCCTACTTGTCTGTTCTGAGGGAGAGCGCATGGGGGCTGGTGCTCACCATGGCAAACACAGGAACCGCATGCCCAGCCCCTCAACTGGCACGGAGCTGCCAGGTTTGAGCTGGTGTAGAGCTGGCTTCCTGGAATGTTTCTTTGGCCCACAGGTGGTTCTGTCCCATTGAACTCTGCTGTCAGAGGCTCACAGGACAGAACCACATGCTAGGGTCTAGGGCCCCTGTCTACTGATAACCAGTTTGCCATGTCAGAAAGCACTTGTGAAAGCAGAATATGAGTCACCAGACAGGCAAGATCTTACAAAACTTACGAGCCTGTTTGGTCTGCATGATGGCCCCACGCATTTCATAGGCTGCCCACTGAGTGGGAGGGGCCAACTCCAACTTCTGAAGGAAACCACTGGAATCTGCACCCCACATGCATCTGTTGAATCCTTCCCTCGTGTTGAAAACATGCCTGTGGTGGAGGGTGGTCAGCTGTGGCACTGTCTCAAAGCTGCCTTGTGAGGCCATTCCCAGCACGTGCCTGTGGGCTCAACACCCCTTTTCCTGCTCAGCCCTTTAATCTCAACAGACCCGGACTGTGTGGCTGAAGGGGGGCCTGTAGCACTGCAGAAACGCCTCAGCATGATACCATGAAGGAAAGAAACCTCGGCCTGGTCTCGAGAAGCTCCCCATGTTTCAGGAAGTTAGGAAGGAAGGAGTGGCTTGCAGGATTGGCCAGATTGTGAATTTTGTTAGACTTGTCCTCCCTGGCACCAAGTACATCAAGAGCTGATGGCCCCACCCTCTGACCGATGCTGGGCTACAGGTGGCTACGGAGGATTTTTGCATGCATGGCCTGTCACCATCTGGACAGCGTGACCTCAGGGGTTGTCTACCTTACCTTTATGGCAATGCCTATCGAATGGCAAAGTCTTCGAAATCCTATGGCTGCGAAGTAGAATACGTGCTGTCTGTGAAACCGTGTTTGTGACAGCACTGACTTCAGTTGCCAGAGACCCATTTTGCTCTCCCTTACCTAGCTGGGTGCTATCTGCACAAAGCCTGGAGCCTGGCACTCAGGCCCACCACTGTCAGCTGCTGGACATGCCTGGAAGACCCCTCAGCCTCCGACTGCAGAACATTCATTTCAGGAGCTTCTTCCCATGGCATCTTATGACACTTGCTCCACACTGTCACCTGCAGAAGCCTGGCGGGCTCTTGGCACATGTGTGTATCTGATGGTTGCACTGGCCAGCATGTGCCTGTCCCGAGTAAGAGGGGAGACACAGTGGACTGGAAGGACCAATTGAAACTGGCCAATCTGTATCAACTTAATTTGGCGGAGAAAATTTGTAACAACTCTGAGCGCATGCTGAGTGAAGTCAGCTCAAGGAAAGATCGAGATGGGGGGAGGAGGTGTGGGTGGCTTCTGGAGTGGGACCCAGAGGGGAGCCTCTGGGACGGTGGCTGGGGCTCAGTGCTGAGGAAGACATGGAGAGTGATGTGAGAACCCCTGTACATCTGCGCATGTGCTTGTGTCCAGGTGTGAATTGTAAACTGTCTAGTGTTTGCATTAAATAAAATGGCACCTACCAGATCCTCATCTTCTGATGGTGTTAAGGCGCATCCTTGGTCAAGTGTTGCTACTTTTCCCTAAAGCAATTTATGATGTGGAGCTGATCTCATCATCATTCTCCCTGTGCAGTATTTCTCTAGAAGGTTAGAATTCTTGCATTTACCCCCCCTCAATGACTAGCTCAGTGTCAGGACTTTGAAGGGTGGGCCTCCCTCACTGATCAAGAAGCTGAGGCTAGCGGATGTGGAGCAGCCAATGTCCTGGGATTAGAGAGGGCAGAGGCAGGAGCAGAGTGCTCTGGGGCTGCTTCCAGTGAACATGGGTTGCCCAGTCCGGGGCTGCCCAGGTAAGGTCTGGAAGCAGCAGAGAGCCAGGCTCGCAAATCCCAAGGCTACTGCTCTGCCGCCTTCAGAGCAGGCCGGTAACCAGTGGAGGTTCCAGTTCTGTGCAGTTGTTTGAACCAGAAAGCTGAGTGAGAAAGGGGCCCTGCACTTCATCACTTGTTGCAACCTTGTGGAGAGTGGCCTGTTTGGGATAAAGTATGTCCTTGTCATCAACTCGCATCTTGGCTTCAAACTGAGAAGACATTTCAGTTCAGGGCATTTCAGCATGAAAACAAGATGCAGGCCGGGTGCGGTGGCTCACGCCTGTAATCCCAGCACTTTGGGAGGCCGAGGCAGGTGGATCGCGAGGTCAAGAGATCGAGACCATCCTGGTCAACATGGTGAAACCCCATCTCTACTAAAAATACAAAACATTAGCTGGACGTGGTGGCGCGCGCCTGTAATCCCAGCTACTCAGGAGGCTGAGGCAGGAGAATTGCTTGAACCCAGGAGGCAGAGGTTGCGGTGAGCTGAGATCGCGCCATTGCACTCCAGCCTGGGTAACA